CAATCTCACCATTCCTTGGTAAAAGAGTAGCCCAAGAGTTGGCGATGGGTGGTGTTGACTATCTACCTTCCCTCTAGTCTATCCCTGCTAAATTAGGGACAGCTAAACGAAGATAGTATCCCTTGTGTAGCTTTGCGTGAAATTCCAAACAAACAAACAAAAAATGATATTCAATCTTCCACTGTCGAGATGCGCTAGGGGAAAAAAATTCGCAAAATCATTTACAGCTTCGTGGAGTTTGCAGAGCCATTGTATCTAAGGGTCTTGAACCAACAAACTCTTTAGTAAGCGTGTTTTTAACCAGTTTCAACCAGTTGCCCTCGTTTCATCTCTGCGATAAAACTTTCCCAAAACTAACGTGTTAGAGACTTGAACTATAATTTGTATGAAATCAAACCGGCGTAGTTTCTGGACAGTGTTTGATATTTTATTATCATTATTTTTAAATGCAATAATGACAAATGACTTGAATAGGTGAAAAGAATATAATACTAGTTACATTGTTTGTTTCCCAGTTTTATACGTGATAGTTTAAGCAGCCTTATAACACACCCAACGTAAGGTTGTTCATCGTAAACTAATTAGCTCAGTCGTCCGTAAGCCTGAAGCAGTTGCTATGGAGACGACTGCAGGGAAAGATGCGGATGAACGGCATCCATTGGTATAGTAGACGATGAATGAACCTTTATATCATCACAAAGATTTGGATAACGTTCTACTATCTTTGTGTTTCGATAAATAATGGTGTAAACACGACCTTTGTCTTGGAGTTAATAAAGTCTCGGGGGGGGGGGGACTAAGTGTATTATTTTAAAGTACATAGGTGCTAACAAATAATTGCTCCACACTAACAAATAAGAACGTTTGTTCCAAAACACCGGTTACAGTTAAATAGTAATAAGGATTAAAACCAAGAGAAACAATACAATTTGTATTTTGACTTTTGTGTGTGTGTGTCTAGACTGAATGTAAAATTGAGCAAACATATAAAGCTGAGTATCGTTAGGTTGATTTGTTACTAGGTGTATTTTGATAGGTGTTAGGTTGATTTGTTACTAGGTTTGTATTTTTACATACACCTATCAATTTTTTTTTGTTGTATGTGTATAAGACATTAATACTAACAAACAAGAGATGTGGTTAATATCAACAACGTATGGATAATATAATTTCTCTCTCTCGATTTTTGAAATGGCGAACTGCATGACTGACGGCACGTACACGCGAGCTCCTTTCATGACGTAAGAACGAGCTTCGAGATGCGCGCAGACTGGGGGTGTGTCACGACGTGTGGGTGTGTACCCGAGAGGGGTACAGCGTTCTAGTTCTGGGAAAACTGTAAAATGGTATTAAAAATAAATAGTTTCGGATCTATTTTCGACGGATATTTTTAAACAAACTTCACATTCTCTCCATGCGTTGCTGATCAGTGCTTATCTTTTTTCATCAACGCTAGAGTTTCCGGAAAACTGCAGATATTCGTGTAATAAGTGTTGTTTTAATATTCTTAAGACGCCACTAGTGACTGCAAGATTCTGTGAGAAAAACAAAGTGGTCCAATAAGGCTTCACATTTTGCTTTGATCTAATTTTCTATACAAACACTGAGTCACATTGGAGTGATAAATAACCGCGTTCTTCGTTAGAGGGTCCCGACTGAATTCGTCACATGCTGTTTGGATTTCTGGAAAGCGATTGAATTTTCAAAGAACTGGTTTTTGTTTAAACGTTACGAAAATTAATTTTACGTTTGATCGTATTTTATGACGTTTGTTATACGATGTTTAATCTCGGGATAGGACAACAATTTGTTGGTTTTATACGACAAAAGAAATAATTCTGCTTCGCCACTGCTGAAGTCAATCCGAATATCTAACAAAACTCACGAGACAAAAATTAGAAGTTTAACAAACAGTTTGATTAAATTCTGTAGCGTGTTATGTGCAGACAACGTTACAGAGATTATTGAGTGAGTCAGGGAAAATTCAGAAAAGGCTACATCCGCTCTGGGAATAGACTAAACACACAACTTGAAGGGAGGTAATGACGTAATATTCGTCTGGCTATTGATAAACCATCTGGATGTGGAAAATGGACCTTTCGAGATATTTCCTAAGATGTACTTGAGATATATTTACGGTTAGAGAAGTCGACCATGTTCTCGTTCTATTTATGTATGTGCTTGAAAAATAAGCCACGAGAACCGTGCGCATGGACACGCGCACACGAAATATGGCGGCATTGATTTCGGAACGTGAAATTATCCTTGCTGCGTCAACTAAAAACATCCGTACAGACAACCGCCGAACATGGGTTGAAATGAAAAAAAAAAACCATTAAATAATATAAAATAATCACTAAAGTACGCCAAGAAAAAAAAATTAAATAGGCAGTGTACTTGTTCAATCTGATACGATATTCGATATGCATGTTTTACCTGATATCAGTATAGTATTCTTCTTGGCAAATAACTAACATGATGCGTCACATCGTCAAATATCATTCTGATCATACATTAACTGTACGACATCATTTGAGACAAATATGGCGGAATTCGTTTTTCTAGACAAGTTGGCCGTGTTTCAAATCACGTGAGATCAATACTTAGTTGTCATGGTTACCAACATGATGCAATCCCAAGTAACTTGGCAATTGGCTCAGTGTGTGATGGGCTTAATGTCTGGAGTATATAAGACGCATTTAAATCAGGGTGACTTTAATAAGACAGGGAAAGGACCTCAAATCCAGCCGTTTTCTTGTATCAGGATATATATACGTGCAATTAAAATTTGTCCTGTTGGAAAACGATTCCATTACTTTGATAAACGTTATTTATTTCGGTACTAGATTGTAACTCTTGAAAGGAACACGGGTATTGGTTTTCTACGACAGTTTCTTAGGTCACATTTTTCCATATGTACACGTTTTTTTATCGTGCTACTTGGTTAAGTTGAGTGTGTGTGTGTATGAGAGAGAGAGAGAGAGTGTGTCCTACTTCTGCAGTCACCTCCAGAGACCAGGCCGCATCTTGTATCCTACAGTATATATCGCCTCTGTCCTGGTGACTTTGTTTCAGATATACAGCGTTATATTTTTTTATTAAGGGTTGTTGTGTATTATAAATGTTATATTCTTATCAAGGGTTGTTGTGTATTAAAAATGTTATATTTCATCATAGGCTTTTGGTCTTGTTTCTAACGCAGTCCTTCCTTTTAATACACACACACACACACACACACACACACACACACACAGTGTATGTCTAGTGCATATATATGTGTGTGTGTGTGTCGTG